TCACGGGAGACACAGAGCCCAAGACAAAGATCGGGTGACCCAATCCCGCCTCCCCCACCCCAAAACCAGATCGGCGGTGTAAGTCTGGTGGCGGTGGGGGAGCAAGGCTCTCTCTTCTCCGTCACGGGCGTGTCTCGTCTCCTTGGCCTTGCCTTGCTTTGGGAGGGGCCGCCTCACACCCCCACAGACCACGGGGCTGCATGTGACCAGGACTCTGGCACGGCCACTGTGCCCCCGCCCAACCCCGGCGACATAGCCCCTCAAGCTCCCTCGGGAAAAGGGGGTACTAACCGTCACTCACAGTCACAGACCACAATTACCCAGAGAGTGTTTGGTGGGCAGGGGTACAGGTGTGGTTTTAACGGGGGGGCGGGGGTGGGTGGGGACGGTGGTGTCGTTGTGCGCATGCGCATGGGCGCCTTATTGTTTCCCCCCCTACCAGCACAGCTTCTGGGCGGCGGCCGCAACTAAAAAAGGTTGGGGAAGGGGCGATAATTCCGCCTCCCCTCCCCACATAAATGCCGTTCTCCAGGAGCCCCAAAACACAAGTTTCTTTGCTACGCTTTCCACGCTTGTGCACCCAGGTCCGCGCCAGTTTCTCCTGCCCTGCCACACCCCCGGCGCCCGCCCACTCGTGCCCCACTGCCCCGTGGCCTGCGCAGCCCTGCCCTGCCCTACGCAACCCGCTCACCTTGCGGTCGCTGACACCCTCGCCCACTGCGATCACGACGCCCGCGCCCTCCATGCCTGGAGTGACAGGCAGCGGCGGGAGCCTGTCGTACAGCCCCTGCCTGGCCATGAGGTCTGCGAAGTTGAGCCCGCAGGCCCGCACGCGCAGCGTCAGCTGGCCGGGCCCAGGGGCCGGAGGCGCGGCCGGCCGGCTCTGCAGCTTCACCTTGTCGTAGCCTCCAAAGCCAGTGAGCACCAGGCAGCGCAGCGGCGGCGGCGAGGCGGCGGCGGTGGCCCCTTCTGAGGCCGCGGGCTGCTGGGGGTCGCTCATTCTCTCGGTTTTCGCAGGCGGCGAAGAGGCGTCTTCCCCGGCCCCTGCCTCGGCGGCCGCCACCACAGTGGCCGCCTCGGTTACCTCTCTCTCGGCTGACATGGCTGGGACTCCCGACGAGAGCGCACAGCTGGACTGAGAGTGCACAGCGGGGCAAGGCGGGGCGCGTCGGGAAGAGCCGCGGCTGCGGGATCCAGCGGGAGGGGCGGGGCGCCGGGCGAGGCGGGGCCTCGCGCGCAGCCTTAAAGGGCCAGGGCCACAGTGGCGCAAGCTGGGAGAGCACGAAAACGGGCACCAGGAATGTCTGTGGTCTTGGGCTCAAGCAGACCGCGATTTATTTATTCACAGTAAACCTTATTCAAATTAAAAACTATTTTAAGGGATAGGCCTGGCGCGGTGGCTCACGCCTGTAATCCCAGCACTTTGGGAGGCCGAGGCGGGCAGATTACAAGGTCAGGAGATCATTGCGGGTGGATCATTTGAGGTCAGGAGTTCAAGAACAGCCTGGCCGACATGGTGAAACCCCCGTCTTTACCAAAAATGCAAAAAATAGCCAGGCGGTAGTGGCGCGCGCCTGTAATCCTAGCTATTCGAGAGGCTGAGGCGGGAGAATCGCTTGAGCCTGGGAGGCTGAGGTTACGGTAAGCCGAAATAGCGCCACTACACTCCAGTCTGGACAACAAAGTGAGACCCTGTCTCAAAAAAAAAAAAAAAAAAAAGGCCAGGCGCCGTGGCTCACACCTGTAATCCCAGCATTTTGGGACGCCGAGGCGGGTGGATCACCTGAAGTCAGGAGGAGTTCGAGACCAGCCTGACCAGTATGGCGAAACCCCGTCTCTACTAAAACTACAAAAATTAGCCAGGCATGATGGCAGGTGCCTATAGTTCCAGCTACTCGGGAGGCCGAGGCTGGAGAATTGCTTGAACCCGGGAGGCGGAGGTTGCAGTGAGCCAAGATCGTGTCACTGCACTCCACTTTGGGCGACAGAGGGAGACTCCATCTCAAAAAAAAAAAAAAAAAAAAGGCCGGGTGCGGTGGCTCACGCCTGTAATCCCAGCACTTTGGGAGGCCGAGGCGGGTGGATCACGAGGTCAGGAGATCGAGACCATCCTGGCTAACACAGTGAAACCCCGTCTCTACTAAAAAATACAAAAAATTAGCCGGGCGCGGTGGCTCAAGCCTGTAATCCCAGCACTTTGGGAGGCCGAGACGGGCGGATCACGAGGTCAGGAGATCGAGACCATCCTGGCTAACACGGTGAAACCCCATCTCTACTAAAAAATACAAAAAACTAGCCGGGCGAGGTGGCGGGCGCCTGTAGCCCCAGCTACTCGGGAGGCTGAGGCAGGAGAATGGCGTAAACCCAGGAGGCGGAGCTTGCAGTGAGCTGAGATCCGGCCACTGCACCCCAGCCTGGGCGACAGAGCGAGACTCCGTCTCCAAAAAAAAAAAAAAAAAAAAAAAAAAAAAAAAAAAATACAAAAAATTAGCCGGCCGTGGTGGTGGACGCCAGGAGTCCCAGCTTCTTGGGAGGCTGAGGCAGGAGAATGGCATGAACCTGGGAGGCGGAGCTTGCAGTGAGCTGAGATCGTGCTACTGCACTCCAGAGCCAGACTGTGTCTCAAAAAAAAAAAAAAAAAAAAAAAAAGTTAAGGAACAGTCCCAAAACTTGAACTTACATCAGATTTGGAGTTACTTACATGTAGACTGGAGTCCAGCTAAATTGTATCTCAGGCTCTGACTGTACCTTTATGTAACCCAGGCAGGGATGAGACTTAATTCACTGTGGTCTTGCAGTGGCAAAGCAGAAGCATGGAGACCACGCCTTTAAAACTTTCTGACTTTGGTGTTAACGTTCTGTTCCTCATTTTCCCTTCTGTAACATAGTGATGATGCTGCGTGCTCTAGTTATATTTTTATTTTATTTTATTTTTTTGATACAGGATCTCACTCTTTCACCCAGGCTGAGCAAGGTGGCGTGATCACAGCTTCCTACAGCCTCAAACTCCCGGGTTCAAGCAATCCTCCCACCTCAGCCTCCTGTATAGCTGGGACCACAGGCATGTGTCACTACGACCGGCTAATTTTATGTTTTACCGCTCTTTGCAGAGCAGGGCTACCCCATAGGCAGCGTGCCTAGAGTGGCCAAACCTAGCTAAGTTTTGATTTGTTTTTCTAGAGACAGGGTCTCGCTAATATTGCCCAGGATGGTCTCAAACTCCTGCATACAAGCAAGCCTCGGCCTCCCAAAGTGCTGAGATTACAGGCGTGAGCCACTGCGCCCAGCTTCTAGTTATCTTTACACAATTATTTGCAACATATATTATTAACTCGAATTGCCTCGATATAAAAAATTACTTTTTTTTCCCCAAAATTCTGTTGCCCAAGCTGGAGTGTAGTGAGGCAATCTCGGCTCACTGCCACCTCCACCTCCCAGGTTCAAGCGATTCTCCTGCCTCAGCCTCCCGAGTAGCTGGGACTACCGGCACGCGCCACCATGCCCGGCTAGTTTTTGTATTTTTAGTAGAGACGGGGTTTCACCATGTTGGCCAGGCTGGTCTCAAATTCCTGACCTCAGGTATCCACCCGCCTCGGCCTCCCAAAGTGCTGGGATTACAGGCGTGAGCCACCGTGCCTGGCCAAAAAAGCACTTTTAAAAGGTAAAAAAAAAAAAAAAAGTAAAAGGTGCCACGCAAATACGTATCGGTGGTTTTATTATTGTTAGACTCTTTTTTTTTTTTCCTTTTGAGACGGAGTCTCGCTCTGTCGCCCAGGCTGGGGTGCAGTGGCCTCTCAAAGTGCTGGGATTACAGGCGTGAGCCACCGCGCCCGGTCTATTGTTAAGACTCTTAATCAAGCCTGACTTTTGGGTTTAGCTCTGGCTCCAGCAGAGCAACTCTGGCGGTTGGTTCTTTCTCTTCCTTTTTTTTTTTTTTTTTTTTTTTTGAGATGGGGTCTGTCTCTGTCGTCAGGCTAGAATGCAGTGGCGCGATCTCTGCTCACTGCAACCTCTGCTTCCCGACTTCAAGCGATTCTCCTGCCTCAGCTTCTGGTGCACGCCACCACACCCGGCTAATTTTTGTATTTTCAATAGAGACGGGGTTTCACCATGTTGACCAGGATGGTCTCGATCTCCTGACCTCGTGATCAGGCCGCCTGGGCATCCCAAAGTGTCGGGATTACAGGCGTGAGCCACCGTGCCCGGCTGGTTCTTTCTCTTCCTAATCTCCTTCTCCCCAAGTATCCACCAGAGGACGCAGCTCCCCCAAAACTTTCCACCCAGTGCTTGGCTGGAGGAACTCAGTCCACGCTTCTCTGCTAGTCTAGCCGCGGTTAAGTCAATGCAACCCGAGACCCGGCTGCCCGTTGTCATGGGGACGGAAAGCTATGATGTCACCACCGTCCGGGTGGGTGTGCTGGGGTTCACCCTCCCATTTCCCCAAGACCCCCTGCCAGGACACGGGCGGAGGCGGGAGAGAAAATAAAAAAGCCTGGCTCCTTCCCCTTAGCATCTCTCTCCCGCCGTGTTCAGGAAGTGGATGGCTGCCCCCGCTCTTGTCCGCACTGGTGCACCTGCGTGCACGCGTGGGTACACAGCAGGGCCGAGCTTCGCGCGTGTGCCGCTCACATTAGTGTACCCCTAAGAACTTCGCTTGAACTCTGCCCTGCCCTTATCTCCGAGAAAGTCAAATAAGCCCGGTTCGGCCTGTCCCAAACCGGCAGGGGCACCTCAGCCAACACTGGCGCGCTGGACCCCGGCTCTGGGTCCTCTGTTCCCAGGGCTCCGCCCAGATCTGCTGGGCCCCGCCCCCCGGCTGCGCGGGTGGGAGGCGGGGCCGGGGGGCGCGGCCGCCAGGCTGGGGGCGGGGCTGAGGGGGGCCGCAGCCCCGGGGCGGGGGCTCGGCGCGGGCCCGCGAGATGCCGGTGTTGGCGGCCCGCGCGGCTGCAGCTGCAGCGGCGGGGGAGGCGGCGGCAGAGGCGGCGGCGGGGCCCGGGAGGGGGGTGGCGTGGGGGACCGGCGCGTAGCCGGGACCATGGAGGGGCAGAGCGGCCGCTGCAAAATCGTGGTGGTGGGAGACGCAGAGTGCGGCAAGACGGCGCTGCTGCAGGTGTTCGCCAAGGACGCCTATCCCGGGGTGAGGGACCTGCGTCTTGGGAGGGGGGCGCTAAGGCTGCTGCGGGATGGGTGACAGGGGCCCTGGGGACGGATAGGAACGGGTACTCGGGTAACCAGGGACAAGATACAGGGGCTCGGAGGACGGGGGGAGGCCTTGAGGGCTCGGGAAGGACTGCAGAGGATTGGGGTGGGAGGAATTAGGGAGCAGGGTGAGATGGATGGGGTTTGGGAGAACCAGAGCATCCGGGAGGGAGGGCGAGGGGAATGTCGGAGGTCCTGGGCAATGGAGAAGGGAAGAACTAGGGGGCTGAAGGGACCAGGAGGAGGTCTGGGAGCCTAGCAGAGATTCTGCGGGGGGCAGGAGCTCCCGGGATCTCCCCTTTGCCCAATCCCAAACCAACTTGTGTCCAGGGGCTGGGCTGGACGGGGTGTGGGAGTGAGGAGGGCATTTATCTGGGGTGAGGACTTGGAGAGAGGATCTCATCTGGATCCATCCCGTGTCTGCAGAGTTATGTCCCCACCGTGTTTGAGAACTACACCGCGAGCTTTGAGATCGACAAGCGCCGCATTGAGCTCAACATGTGGGACACTTCAGGTAGCCAAGTCCCTGGGGGTCACCCTGACTTCCAAGGCGGCCCACTCTGTCCCCTCCCTTGGCTAGACCCTTAGGTTCCAGGTCAGCCCAGCCCATCCATCCAATTCCAACAGGAAGGAAAAATCAATTTTCCGCTTAAAGCTAGGGAAACTGAGGCAGAACTTGCTGATCCTGACAGAAACCATGTCCTAAAGGAGAAAGCCTAGGATCTGAGCCCTTCAGCTGGGTTCTGCCTACCTGGGAAAGTTGGGAAGGAATGGCTTTTAATTTGGAACATGTTTCTTCGGAGATAAGACTGAGTTTAGAAAAGACATTCAGAGGCTGGGTGCGGTGGCTCACACCTATAATCCTAGTACTTTGGGAGGCTTGGGTGGGCAGATCACCTGAGGTCAGGAGTTTGAGACCAGCCTGGTCAACATGGTTGAAACCCCGTCTCTACTAAAAATGCAAACATTAGTTGGGCATCTGGCACGTGCCTGTAATCTCAGCTGCGGGGAGGCTGAGGCAAGAGAATCGCTGGAACCTGGGAGAGGGAGGCTGCAGTGAGCCGAGGTCATGCCACTGCATTCCACTGCATTCCAGCCGGAGCGAAAGAGCAAGACTCCGTCTCAAAAAATAAAAAAAGAGAAAAGACATTTAGAATGTCTTGAGTGAGGAGTGGTCGGGGGCTGTTTCTCTCCATTGAACTAGAGAAATCTGAGGTCAAGTCCCAGGAGAATGGGAGAGTGCTTTCCTGCCACTGCTGTTTTCCTCCTCCCAACATAAGGAGGGTTTTTATTTATTTTTATTTATTTTTATTTTATTTTATTTTTGAGACGGAGTCTTGCTCTGTCACCCAGGCTGGAGTGCAGTGGCCGGATCTCAACTCACTGCAAGCTCCGCTTCCCGGGTTTACGCCATTCTCCTGCCTCAGCCTCCCGAGTAGCTGGGACTACAGGTGCCCGCCACCACGCCTGGCTAGTGTTTTGTATTTTTTAGTAGAGACGGGCTTTCACCGTATTAGCCAGGATGGTCTCGATCTCCCGACCTCGTGATCCGCCCGTCTCGGCCTCCCAAAGTGCTGGGATTACAGGCTTGAGCCACCGCACCCGGCCGGGTTTTTATTTTTACAAGAGTTCCCTTCGGGGCTTTAGACTGCCAAAGCCCAGAAAGCACATGTAACATTTTATGAGAATGACTATAGATTTCATGAGCTTCTCAAAGGGGTCCAAACCTTAGTCAAGAATAAAAATTATTACTTTTTAAACCCCTAGGGAAGCAGAGAGCCGTTTCCCACCATTTGACTCCCCTTCTGCCCACTGCCCCACTTGGGAAACCCAGACTCCATGATGGGTATTAATGATGGGTATTAGTGGTTGCTCTTTTCCATTCTCTGCTCCCAGCATCCCTTGACCAGGATCTGGAAGGTCTCCCATTCCCTTCCAGGCCTCCCATCCACTCAGGCCCCTCATGCTCTCTCTTCCTTCAGGTTCCTCTTACTATGATAATGTCCGGCCTCTGGCCTATCCTGATTCTGATGCTGTGCTCATCTGCTTCGACATTAGCCGACCAGAAACACTGGACAGTGTTCTCAAGAAGGTGGGAGCCTGGGGAAATAGGGCAGCTAGACTGAGACGGACCAGCCACCATGGTCCTGACATAAAATGGGCCAGGAGGAGGGAGTGATAGCTGGGGTACGGCCGTCAGCTGGTTAGCGAGTGAAGCTCTCATCCCTGCCACCCCTGCCTCCAGCCCCCATCCCTCCCAGCCACCCGCTTCCTGAAAGTCCTCAGAGCTGGATACAGCAGCTAGGGGAGGTGGGGGAGTGAAGGGAGAAGCACTCACGGGATTCTTTCTCTGCTCTTCCAAGTCCTTGGCAGTGGGAGCCCCAGATGGAGGGGATGGGATGTGAAGGCTGATCCTGGAACTCAGGAAAGCCCTGTGGCCTCCTCTCCAGGCCCCAATTTCCATGAGAAAAGCCAGTGGTGAATGGACAGAAGTCAGCTAGGGCAGCCCCAGTTCCCAGGTGGGGGAGGGGAGGGTGGGATAAATTTGTTCCCAGGAGACAGCATGGGAAAGGCGAGTGGGAATGGGAAGGTTCCAGGCTGGCAGACCCTTCATAGCCACTGAGGGAGAAGAGTCCGCAGGCCCACGCCAGCCCTCTCGTCCCCCCTACTTCTCTCTCACCCCATCCTGCTCTCAACCCAAGCCTAGCATTCTCACCTCTTCCTTGTGTGGGAGAGTTCCGAGGGATACGTGGTTTCTGCATGCTGTGAGGAAGAGAGGGCACACTGCTGGCATGGCGCAAAGGCTCACCCTGTGCTTCCCTCCACCGCTCCACAATTCTCTTTTCTTCTCCTACATAGTGGCAGGGAGAGACTCAAGAGTTTTGCCCCAATGCCAAGGTTGTGCTGGTTGGCTGTAAACTGGACATGCGGACTGACCTGGCCACACTGAGGGAGCTGTCCAAGCAGAGGCTTATCCCTGTTACACATGAGCAGGTGGGACCCTTGACCTCTGACCTCATCCCAGCCTAGACCTGTCACCTCTGCACCTTCAGTCTCTGATTTGAAAACACCTTGGCCGGGCGCGGTGGCTCAAGCCTGTAATCCCAGCACTTTGGGAGGCCGAGGCGGGTGGATCACGAGGTCAGGAGATCGAGACTATCCTGGCTAACATGGTGAAACCCCGTCTCTACTAAAAATACAAAAAACTAGCCGGGCGTGGTGGCGGGCGCCTGTAGTCTCAGCTACTTGGGAGGCTGAGGCGGGAGAATGGCGTGAACCCGGGAGGCGGAGCTTGCAGTGAGCCGAGATCACGCCACTGCACTCCAGCCTGGGAGACACAGCGAGACTCCGTCTCAAAAAAAAAAAAAGAAAACACCTTACCTGGCTCATCCTTTGTTCTGGCCTGTGACCTCTGACCTGATCCCTTGACTGTCCCCAGCCCTGACATTCAACCCCAGCCCATAGCCTCCGTGCCCCTTTCTAAGCTGCAGGCTAAGACCTATAACTTTCTTCCATGCACTCCTTCCTTTTCCAGGGCACTGTGCTGGCCAAGCAGGTGGGGGCTGTGTCCTACGTTGAGTGCTCCTCCAGGTCCTCTGAGCGCAGCGTCAGGGATGTCTTCCACGTGGCCACAGTGGCCTCCCTTGGCCGTGGCCATAGGCAGCTGCGCCGAACTGACTCACGCCGGGGAATGCAGCGATCCACTCAGCTGTCAGGACGGCCAGACCGGGGGAATGAGGGCGAGATACACAAGGATCGAGCCAAGAGCTGCAACCTCATGTGAGGGGCTAGGAGAGGGCAGAGTGTGAAGAGGGGTGGTGAGGGACACAGTTGTTCCCCTGCCTGCGCCCAGGCTTTCTGACCTCCTGAGCCTGGCTGGGAAGTCAGGGCAGGCAGAGCAAGCAATTCTTCTGGGCAGGGGAGCTGGAGGGCAGAAGGATATCATCATTTCTCATCTCCTCCTCCCTCCTCTTCTCCAGTGGATATTGAGGGAGCTAACAGGGCTGGCATCTGGGGCATGAACTGAGATGGGGCAGGTGGGGGTTAGGGAAGCTGATATCAAATAGTGACCTTGGTGGAGTCTCCTATGTGAAGAGTACCCTCCCTCTCCACCCCCAGCCCCCATATCCTGGTTCTGGCCCAAGGAAAATGTCCATTCTACGACCTTCTCTTTTCCTCTCCTCTCACTTCTGCAGCTATTCTCACACACCTAACCTCTAGGCAACATGCACTAAATTCAAAAGCAAGGAGAAGCCCTTCCCCCACCATCAGTCCACCAGCCCTAGAACCTCCCTTGCCTCTACAGTCACCCAATAAAGCCCAAGTCCATGGAAAACGGCTGTGGCTTTAGTTTTGTTGCTTTTAAAAAAAATCAATCTACCAGTCTCTAGCAGTAAGAGGGAAAGTTAGACCTCAGCCGGGGAACTTTCCATGTCCGCAGATAGAACAGAGGACAAAGCCATAGGTTGGATCAGAAGTGTCCTTTTAGGAGTCAGAGTTGGGAGAAGGAGACATCCTGGGACTGTTCATCCCAGTTAATAAAGTGGGCAATTCTCAGGCCATTAGGGGATTTTAGAGCAGACTGACATGCAATTAGTCAGTATTTCTCAGCCCAGCCAAGCCTGCTGCTAGTGTGGGAGGGGTCCTGCTCGCCATCTGTACCCCTGGCTTGGAGTCTGCTGGTGCCCTGGGGGTTGTGGGGATGAGGAGGCATCAAAAACCTCCACATCACAGAAGCTACCCCTATACAGCGTGAAGTTTCCTAAGGGGTCAGTAGTTTGATTCTGGGGTCTTAGAGGCTCAGGCCAGGGACCTTTCTCTCCTTCCATGCTGAGTTCCTTGATGACTTTCAGGGAAGCATCAGCTGTTAGAGTTACCCCTACTCTGTCCCTTCAAGGAAAGATGGTGGAAAGGACGGCCGAGCGCCTGTTGTCAGGAAAGACAGTGCTGGTCTGTTTTCTCGGGAGTCTGGTTTCAGATTGTCCTGTATTCCCTCCCTGGCTCTGGTCCCACTGGCCTCTTTTCGGTGACATTCTCCCCCAGGAACCATCCCTGGCCCTTCCCTCCCCCAGCCCCAGCCCTAGCCAGTTCTCCCAGACACACTGGAAGAGAACACTGACCTTACCCAACTGTCTGCTGGGATCCCACCCAAATTTATAGCCCATTCCTCCCTCTTCATTCATTCAGCAAGTATGTATTGAACACCAACTGTGTGCCATACACTGGCTTGGGAGATTGCAAGGACCAGTCTCTAAGCTTCTGGAGGCCAACCCAATGTGGAAGAGAAGTACCCCAGGTGTGAGGGTGCCATGACTGAGGGATATTTGTACATGTACAGGGTGCTATGGGAGCTCCTTGCAGCCTGAGAAGCCAGTCCTGTTAGCCAGGTCCTGAGGGTTGAAGAGGAGTTTGCCAGGCAGGGAAGGGGTAGGAAAGGCACTCTGGGCAGAGGGTACAGCATGTGTAAACACGTGGAGATGAGAACGAGCATAGCACTGTTGGGGCTCCTATGGCAGGGAGAATAGAAGACAAGGCTAGGAAGGTACCCTGAAGCTACTGCAGGGTCCACAGAGGAACCAGAATTTCATTCTGAGGATGAATGAAATCATCCTCAGAGGATGAAGCCACCAGGAATTTCAGGCAGAGAGTGAAGTGATCAGAGTTGTTTTTTGGATAGATGGTTATCTGGATGAGGTATTTGGGGCTGGGAGATTTGGCTCTGAGATGTGTCATTTAAAATAGCTTGTCAGCAGTGACTCACACCTATAATCCCAGCCAAGATTCCTCCTTTGGGAGGCCAAGCTGGGAGGATCGCTTGAGGCCAGGAGTTCGAGACTGCAGTGAGCTATGATCATGCCATTGTCTTCCAGCCTGAGTGTCAGAGTGAGACCCTGTCTCTTAAAAAAAAAAAAAAAAAGAGGGCCGGGCGCGGTGGCTCAAGCCTGTAATCCCAGCACTTTGGGAGGCCGAGACGGGTGGATCACGAGGTCAGGAGATCGAGACCATCCTAGTGAACACAGTGAAACCCCGTCTCTACTAAAACTACAAAAAAAACTAGCCGGGCAAGGTGGCGGGCGCCTGTAGTCCCAGCTACTCGGGAGGCTGAGGCAGGAGAATGGCGTGAACCCGGGAGGCGGAGCTTGCAGTGAGCTGAGATCAGGCCACTGCACTCCAGCCTGGGCGACAGAGCGAGACTCCGTCTCAGAAAAAAAAAAAAAAAAAAAAAAAAAGAAAAAGAAAAAATAGCTTCTCTTTTCCCTTATGCCAGGTTCCAGTATTGAGAGACAAGAAATTCCCACCCACCACTCCCTGGCTCATCAGATACCCCTATCCCAACCTCTCCTATGGGACTAGTTCATCTCGGCCCGTCTCAAAGATTCTAGGATAACTTCAATGGCATTTGAAATTATCTAAGTGCCCCTCAAACTGAGACCTGGTTAGGGACTGACTCAAGGACCCTGAGTCCTCGGCTAAGGGTACAGGACAGGGCAGGGGCTCCAGGCCCAGCTAGGTGGATCTCCATCTGTCTTTGAGGACTGACCCTTTCCGCACAAGGACCTGCCATAAAAATCGACTTGTGATTTTTAGCTGAGTGGCTTCTCTTTTCACTTTGGACTTCTCAGTGCATAGCAGTTTCAAGCCTGCAATCACCAAAGTGTAGAATGTGGAGTGTTTGTGCCCCCTCTTTCCTCTAATCTCCATCTCCTGCCATGTGAGCTCAGGGAATGCAAACATAATTAGAAAGATCAATCAGCTGGAGGAACCCCCAAAGTTTAATACCTTTTTAATACTACCAGGAATGGATTTTTGGTCCCTTTCTGCAGGTCTGGATTGCCAGATGTTTTGTTTCTGGGGAGGAGGGCTCTGGGCTGAGCAGCTCAGTGGGTGGGAGGAGGGAATGGGACTGTTCCTGATCCTCAAAGGCCTCTGTAGGCTGAAGGGAGGGGACCTTACTCCCTTCCCCACCCCAGATGCAGGAGTCACTCAGCTTTCTTCTCTGCAGCTGTTTCCCTCACAAATGAGACTGGTTTGGGAAACAATGTAGCCTCGTTAAACATTTAATGAAATAAACAACTAATCACACTGTGATGGCTGCCAGTGTTTCTGTTTTTTTTTTTTTTTTCTTTTTTCTTCTTTTTTTTTTTGAGACAGAGTTTCGCTCTGTCATTCAGGCTGGAGTGCAGTGGCACCATCTCAGCTCACTGCAACTTCTGCTTACCAGGTTCACATGATTCTCCTGCCTCAGCCTCCTGAGTAGCTGGAACTACAGGTGTGCACCACCACACACAGCTAATTTTAGGTTTGGGTTTTTTTTGTTTTTTTTGTTTTTTTGAGACGGAGTTTCACTCTTATTGCCCAGGCTGGAGTGCACGGGCGTGATCTCGGCTCACGGCAACCTTGCCTCCCGGGTTCAAGCAATTCTTCTGCCTCAGCCTCCCGAAGTAGCTGGGATTACAGCCATGCGCCACCATGCCCAGCTAATTTTGTATTTTTAGTAGAGAGGGGGTTTCTCCGTGTTGGTCAGGCTAGTCTTGAACTCCCGACCTCAGGTGATCCACCCGCCTTGGCCTCCCAAAGTGCTGGGATTACAGGTGTGAGCCACCGTGCTCAGCCATTTTTGTATTTTTAGTAGAGACGGGGTTTCACCATATTGGCCAGGATGGTCTCGATCTCTTGACCTCAGGATCCATCTGCTTGAGTCTCCCAAAGTGCTGGGATTACAGGCGTGAGCCACCGCGCCTGGCCTAATTTTTGTATTTTTAGTAGAGACGGGGTTTCACCATGTCGGCCAGGATGGTCTCAATCTCCTGACCTCGTGATCTGCCCTCCTCGGCCTCCCGAAGTGCTGGGATTACAGGCCTGAGCCACCGCGCCCCGCCCTGGTGTTTCTTAACCTAGGCAATAAGCCTGCCTGGGAGGGAGGAGGGGGAAGGACAGGGTGGATGGGAAGAGAGGACTCAGTCAAACTACTGAAACACTTCAGCTGACAAGGGTCCTCCCCTTGTGACTCTGGCCCTCCCAGGAGGGACAGTCGTGGGAAGAGCTTCAGATTCAGAGGCAGAAGTCCCGGGGCCTGGGTTGAGCTCTGCTGCTTCTTCCCTGGGGAGTCTTTGGTGAGGCTCAGCACCTCTGTGAACCTCAGTTTTTGCACCTAGAAAAGGGGGCGGATCACTACATCTTCCTCATTGTGTTGCTGAGCTGATGTCAACTTTTATTCTTTACAACCAAGACACCAAGGCTTAAGTGCTTCTAAACTGGGCCTGAGGGAGTCGGGAAAGGCTTCTTAGAGGGGTATTTTGTGCTGGGACTGGAAGGCTGGAGGAAGACAGAAGATAGGAAGCGGGAGGTGGTTATGTCTTGTTCCCACACCTATCCTGGGCCTGAAGAGAGCTTTAGTGACTCCTCCAAAGATTGAGGTCCCTTGGTCTCCATTTTTCTGAACTCCTCTTATTACTTTTTCTGCAGTCTCTGGGTGAGGACTTCATGTTGCCATAGTGACGCTCTCCCTGCTTCAGGTGCACTCAGACTTGTCCTGCAGGCTGAGGAAGGTGTGGGGGAAGGGGTCATGTCCCTGAGATGCCCAGTGGGGCAGGCACTCTTGGCACAGCTCTCTCCCCCGACTCCACATTCTCTTCCCCGGGAAAGGGTTTAGCATTTTGTTCTCAGTTTGTTCTACACAAGGCAGCTCCTCTCCTGCTTCCTTCCTTCCAGCCGGGTTCTCAGATCTCCCTCCAGCTCTGTCTGGTCAGTCCCTTACTTGCTGCCCTCAAGGCTGTGAGTGAGGGTCAGAGAGTGGGGAGGCTCCAGGTCAGGAGGTGTGGGATGATTCCTGAGTAGCTACCCCCTAGCAGCCGAGAGACAAGAAAGCCATGTACACTAGTGCCCCTCCCCACGAGAAAATGCCTCTGCTGTTGACTCTTAAATAACAGATGTCTGTCTGCATATTAATGAGATTGGACGAATAATTGGTGAGTTTTTCATTCAGTGTCAGAATGAACCGGGAGGCCTTATGTTCATGCACACAGACACCCACTCACCCCTGACTCTCCCCTTCCCCCACAGCACAATGAAACAGACACAGACGCCGGCAGGCTTGACCCATGAGGGGAGGGGCAGACGGGGAACCACCGGGAGGGGTGTTAGGGAGGGGTGTTAGCAGGAGGGAGACCCCCATGGTTGGTCTGGGTTGGTCAGGTTTCTCTCTTGATCACTGCCTCCCCATCTCCCCGGGGGCAAAAGCTTGCATTTGTGAGATTTCGCCACCCTGCAGAAGGGGCTCAGAGGAGGAGGGGGCTCTGGGGAGAGGCAGTTGCTGCCTAGAGGACAGCAACAAAACAGTGGTCTCCTTCAGCGACTTCGTGCCTCACTTGAGTCTGGAATCAATGAGCCCCTTACCCTGCGTTAGACCCTGTGCCAGGGTGTGAGATGGAAGAACAGAGGTTTTGGAGTCAGGTAACTACAATTTGCTAGCTGGGTGCCCTTGCACAAGTTCTCTGAGCCTCACCCTTTTTGTCTCTAAGAACACCTACCTTGCAAGATTGAAAGGATGAAATGAGATAAAGTGTGTTATGTGTCTGTCTTAGTGCCTGGTTTATAATAGGCCCCAACTCATATTTTTGTCTCCCGACCTATCCCCAAAACAAACCAAGACACTTGCTTAATTGCTGCGTCTCATGCCAGACCCACCTTTGTTAGGGAAGGGGTTAATTAGAAGTCTAG